TTTGATATTTTTGGATATTTTGAAGAATAATGTCATTTTTCGATGTTTCTTTTTTTAAATGTCAATTTTGACAGGTTAAGGAAATCACGTGACCTATTTTGTAGACGCCATTTGACATCATTTCTTAAGCAAAATCTACTGCCAAAATCAAATTTCACATAAAACGATAAATAAAAAAGTTTCCCATTTGATGCGGACTTTATCGGTTACACTGTATCTAGAATTATACACATATACAAGATCAGTTTCTCAATTTATTTTGTATATGCTCCCAGGTGACGTCTAAATGACGTCCACTGATGACATTTATCTATACTTTTATGTCAGAATGAGGTGCACAAATAACGTTATGATGACGTAATTTATTGGTGATGTCAAAATCACGTCATTTTTGGTACCATGACGTATCTGACTTAAATATCACTAAAAACTAACCTCATTATGACGTATACTGGCTAGCTGGGAGGATCAGTTGCCAATTGCTCCAGAGTCCAATCAGCAAAAACACAACGACGTGTGTTGTTTCACAAAAAAAAATAATGTTACTTCACGACGTTTTGATTGTTGGTATCCACAATCGTCTTCGGGTGATAACTGATGATCATTTTTATATCATATTAGACAATGGAAGTCCGAACTAATGAAATTCACCATAAAACATATCATCAACCACCTTCAAACAAATATCGTATGTAATTTTGAGTTATTTGAGGCAAATGTCTCAAATTGTCAAATCCTCTACCTTGTGTAGCATGTATGTTGAAAAGTACCATTTTAGTGAAGAAAAATGTAAACATAGCAACTTTCCCAAATGTTATAACATTTCTTAAAATGAAAAATATTGGTAATACAATATGAAAAAATCAGAAGTGTTCAATTGCAACGTTCAAAAGTCCCTGTTGGAACTTTAGATCTAACTAACTTAACCTAACCTAACCCTGTTGGAAAACCCAATAGTTATCGGATTTATTTTTGTTTCATTCTATCATTTCATATTTTCAATTGAATCAATCATATTATAGTATCAGTAAATCATACAACTGAATGAGTGCTTATAATAACATTGATTGGCTACTTTCTCGCATTAATTTTTCCCATTGAATTCGTCATTTCGAATCCGAAAATTCCAACTTATGTTGACTCATTCGCGACGTATTTTTTCTTGGAAATGAACAATCTAATTTTTACTTCGAACCAAATTCATGATGAAATTAACGATTGAATTAATTTTTCACGTATAGTCAGTGGGCATACTTGAAGACTGGCTATAAATCAAATCATCTAAAAGAACAATTCATTCAGGCCAGCCTCAACACCCTACACAGTAGGTTAATGGACTGACACCTATCAGAAAACAACTACTCCCCTGGCTAATACCACGAAGGGCGTTGGATTATATCCGACAGGTGTCAAGAATTAATTACTTCCTCAACTAATTACAATTAGTTATGAGTACTCATAAAAAAAATCGAAGTAACTATTCCTTTTACTATTGATGTATTTCAATGAACAGTTTGGATATTCTCTTGTTTCAACATGTTTCAACAAACATAGACGAATCATAGAATTTAATGTTTTGGTTGGTTTCTGAGTTTTGCCGTGGTCTTCTCTGATTGTAATCTCCAAACGTTTCAACTGCAACTGCGGAAGTCATCTTCAGTGCCGTGGTCAAAGTACTGTTCTTGTCAAATGAAACTCCAAAAAAAAAAAACGTCTGCCGAACTTGGCTGCTTTCATTTTCTCCTACCGATTACGTCAAGATGACGCTCAGCTCTCCCGAAACTTCGAACGCCGTGTCTTTTCGAGAATTGTTCCACTAGCTATCAGAAAGTTCTGTTGGGTTATATAAGCATTACCGCGACGTAGAACAGTCAGCTTAGTTCGGAAAGTGTAGTGCGAAGTAAGCTAATAGACATTTGAGAATTATTCTAAAGTTGAGTTACAGTTGTGCTGACTTGATAATGTAGTAGTAAAATAACGTTTTGTTTTATTGTACATTGTGGTTAATTATTGTCAAACCTACGGAAAAAACCTAACAATGTGTTAGTCATCATAAATCGTTGAGTCAAATGAAATTATCTATGATTGACCTGATGAATAATATTTAATTCATGCCCTATTGGGGGTCTGACCCCTCTGGACCTGTACGTTAAGGAGGTTGCGTTAATGGCAATGTTACGATTGCGCACGGCTGGTGTAAACCTCGAAGTAGGAATGGGTCAATTGAGACTGAGTCTATGATGACAAGCGCTCACTGCGCAACCTCTGCTGCAGGCAACTCAGGTTTATGTTCAATAAACCCTACAAAATACAAATAAAACAGAGCACAGAGTCAGATGCTACAAATGCAATATGCATATATACAGACGGCTCAAAAACCAAAGAAGGCTCAGGATGTGGAATGTACTCCAGATCAGTAAGCCTAAGGATTAAGTGGGGAAAGGGAAAAAATACCAGCGAGGTCCAAACAGAACTGGCTGGTATCTCAATCGCCACAAAAGGAATAACCAGGAAAGGTATTTCTGGCAAAAACATAACAATCTGCACTGACAACAGACAAGCCCTAGTAGCCTTGAACCGACAATGTGTTACCTCAGGGCTAGTACTAGAGTGCCACCAAGATTTATCCAAAGACTCGGTAGACAATAACATTATCCTGAGGTGGGTTAAAGGGCACGACAGGAGTAAAGGTAATCGCATTGCCGACTCATTAGCCAAGGAAGCGGCTGGACTAAGAATTTTAGGACCCAGTGGCACCTACGGCTTGATGACTTAGACAATTGTGGAACTAGCCAATTATTACACCCATGCTCAATCCCTAAAGAGATGGCATGGAATTAAAGGATGCAATCTTGCCAGGATCACCCTGGGCGATCCTGGGAAGCTGGCGCCTAAGATATATCTGGCGATGACCAGGAAAAATCTATGCTTGACAGTAGGATTTCTGACTGGCCACTGTCAACTAAGGAAACACCTCCATAATATGGGGCTAGTGGACACACCTCCATGCAGGATGTGTGAACAGGAAGATGAGACTGTCAGGCATGTCCTATGCGAGTACCCGGAGTTATCGTCAATAAGAGAGTCTTGGCCTACACCTGCCGATATAAAGGAGATGTCTCCCAGTGACCACTCCACCTTCCTGGAAAGGACAGAATGGACGATGACCTAGGAGGACAACTCTTCGGGAGGATGTACAATGGGTCACACGTAGCCTAAGTGCTGAGGGCCTACACACACCCCCCCCTCTACGCTTTAGATGCCCCTTGGGACTAGAAAGTATTGGAAGGTTGGGATATGATTGATATTTCAGAAAAATCACACAAAACATTGGCTATACAGTCTTGATGAGGGATGATTGACTCGAAATACGTGCATACGTGAGCTTTGCTCATTTGAGTGCTTTGACCAGAAGCTCTCACTCAACTGAGATAGATGTCACTGAACGTTTTGGAAAAACTTTTGGATGACATTATAAAAATAAATTGCAATGCATGTTACCATTTCAATCTCATACGAAGATGCCATCTATGAGATAGACGGAAGACTTAACCCACGAGTTTCAAGGATAAATGATCATCCCACTGCCTTGCAGTAAAAGCTGCAGAGGCAGACAGAAGACGAATCTCGTTCGACGGCCGATGTCGAAGCTGAGCTTTGCAACAAACCGCCTTGGGAAGCCTTCTTCGTCCTAAATATTCATGTCAATTCTGTAAATGGCGTCTTTGTAGGTGAATATGTTACTGCCTTTACTATGATCANGAAGTAGCTTCATAAATAATAAAATACTTACACTTCCATCATTATATATATTGCAATGCCTGCTACATGTTAAAAAACATATAAGAGGTTATACTACACATGATGCAATCCACAGTTATAACACTCGAAATAATTCAAATCTGTATCTCCAGAACCATAGAGTCAACAGAACCAGAACTGGCGTAAATTATTATGCTCCAAAAATGTATAATTCGCTTCCCCAAAATATCAAAAATCTACCTTTGAAGGAGTTCAAATACAGAATCAAAAATTTTTTAATTAAAAAAGCTTTTTATTCCTTAGATGAATATTTTAGTGATGGTTTTCGAGACATGTAATACCACTTAATCATATATATTTTAACTTGTTTTATATTTCTATTTCATAGTTAGTTTGTTTTATTTGCACAAATGTATGTATATCTATAGTAATTGTCCATTTAACCATTCAAGTTATCTGAATATTTTATATTTTGTATTTATAGACCTGTGTAAACTTTGTATTAGCACCAAATATATACTACTACTACTACTACTATACGAGTAATAGAGGAGTGATGGTTTGGTGATTATTATTATCAAGAATAGTACGTACTTGGAGTGATGCTCATATTTGAAGACGAATGTAGAAAATATCATTTGTTGGAGAATGACGTTATTGGCAGTTAGGAAGTCGACTAGATAATGAAAGGAAATGACAAACTATTTCCATTCGTACCGAGCAAACCGAATGGTCTACTATTGCCTTATCTTCTGCATATAATTTTATCAGCATATTAATATCATTGCGGTTTTTAAGTCAATGGTAATTCCAACTAAACGTGCGTCCGTTGACGCTTTCATTTATTTTCCAGCTACAAAAGAGATCTTCGTCATTTTCTGCGACCAGTCGAGTTGGGATTGTCCAGTTGAATTAAGTATACGTTTATAACAAAATGATTGGGTTTTACGTGTTTGTAACTGTGGTTCAAGTTCTGACACTTTCAGGAGTCACAAATGCGCAAAGTGAAAGGGTGAGTACTAATAGCATTCAGTACGGTTTTAATAATAATGATAATAATAACATAATACAAACATAAGAATACTACAAATATTTTAGCTATCTAATCTTTCAAATGATAGAGTAAGAAGTGTGTGACGCTCTCATTATAAAAAACTTTATCATCCTCGAGTTCCAAACATGGATTTGAGCGAAGCTCGATAATCTGTAGCTCCCAAAATGGGAATCATAATTGTGGCCAGCCACGAAATTACTGAATGATATAAAAGTTTCAAATCAATACTAAAAATTTGAAAAAATTGATGAAATCTTTATTGGAATCTATAGAACGATCGATATAATTTAATGTTTGAAGATGATTTCATGCAGATGTTGTCCGCGGCTCCGCTTCAGATGGCCCATATAATTAATGGAGAAAAGAGAAATTCAACTTTCAATGTTTTTACCACTTTTATTTGTATCTAGCGTTACTGCAGTTTCGTCCTATAAGGACATTTTCAAACTATAAATATGTATAAATTTGAAAATGTCCTTATAGGATGAAACTGCAGTAACGTTAGTTACAAAAAAAAGTGGTAAAAACATAGAAAGTTCAATTTCTCTTTTCTTCATTATGATTTCCTACCACGTACTACGGCTACATCCATCAATTAATTGATTAATTAATCATCATCTCCATCACGAACGAGTCTCTGTGATGGCAAAGAATTCAGAGTGAGGACGGAGTGAGAGAGTAATAGATAGATAAAAAGTGAATAGAGAATAGAGGAATAGAAACTCGGAGAGGAAAATATAGATACCACACAGCTGCACTCATTAAACTTTATCGACAAGTTTTTGTTATTTCGACTTGCGGAAATCGTCAGATTATATATTTTTCGTTATCCTTGAATTATTTCCTTCAAAATGAAAAAAAATAGCTATGCTCGAGAATGTCGAAATGACGTTATTTTTTTACAACTATGCTGCCCCTCCCCTTTCTCCACGTCACTCTCAAATTGTCAGATTACTGGAATATACACTTTTTAGCAGGTAATTAACTCACCCTACCTTAATCTGCCGCGCTCGAGAATTTCTGATGATCAATTTTTTTTTACTAATCTGATCCTTCATCCCTCACAGGCGGCCTTATATATGGGACTCATATTTGGTGGAGGTACTTAACCGGGTACAAGGTATTCCCCTGTATATCAATCTACCGCGCTTTAGTTAATCTCGAAATCCCCGCTTGGGTTCCCCTATTATTAATTGGGCTATTGTTTCGCGTGCCGTGTGGCATGTGGCACCGTCTTGTTGAAACCACATGTCAGGAATATCCAATTCTTCCATTTTGGGCAACAAGAAGTCGTCAATCATCACACAGTGGCGCTTGCCATTCACAGTAACGTTCCCGCCATTGTCCTCTTTGAAGAAGTACGGCTCGATGACGCCACCGACCCATAATTCACACCAAACAGTGACTTTTTCGGGATGCATCGGTTGTGCTTGTGCTTGTGGCTGGTCTTCACTCCAGATGCAGCAATTTTGCTTGTTAACGTATCCATTCAACCGGAATTGAGCCTCGTCGCTGAACACAATGTTTCGATAAAAATGTGGATCTTCCTCCAACTTTGCCAGCGCCCATTCACCAAATGTTAGACGTTGTGGTAGGTCGTGTGGCTTCAAGGTCATCCATATAAAACAAATGGATAACTTTATGCCTCGGCTTCCGAGTTTGCTACAGGTATACCCTCGAGAATTTTTGGGCACAACGGAAAATGGTAATAGTGAGATGCAGGAAAAAAAGGGACTGAGCAGGAAATTGCCTTGGAATACACTCTTTATGAAAGAGACCCACTCTGTTTGGACTCTAGCCTGACCAGATGTTACGGTGAAGCGAAGAAGTCATCTCACTATTTGGCTACCGCGAAGCAAGATGAGCTCATGCGATGTTGTATCAAATGACTTATGGTAATCGATCCAGGTAATAGAGTGGTTACGCTTTACACATCAATCGATGAGCAGGTTCCCTTCACATCCAGCGACTCCTCTCTTCAACCCTTTCTGTTCTTATATCTGTTTAAATACTCGGTCGAATGCGGTGAGTATACGTGTGTATAAGATCCTCGTAAACAACTTATAACCCGAATTCAAGTGTGTCTTTGGTCTGTAATTGTCAGAAGTCGACAAATCTCCGTTTTTGGGGTTGAAGACGGTTCGCTTCTAGACAAACCAATCCCGAATCGTCTGTTCTCCTCCAGCCAGATGGCGCAGCACAGTTCTTGGAACCCGTAAGGGTTCTTGAACGTCATTCGTGGTTATCGAGTTGTGCAGTTCATTGAGCTCAGGCTGTCCAAGCTCTCTGCTGAAAGATTGAAACTGTACTAAGGCTGGTGACTGAGTTGAGTGGCTGCGTGTTCATAAATGTCCCTCCAGAAAGATTTCACCAGATCAGCGGTCAGGTTATCATTATCATTATTACTTGACAAATCAGAAAGTTCTAATTTTCTGAATTCGGGTTCATTCACCGTGTACTACAAAATTGCTCTAATTCATTCAAACTTTTTACTTTTAGCTCAACGTCACAGTATACTACGAGACCCTTTGTCCGTTCGCCAAAAAGTTTATTGTGGAACAGTTGCATCCTCTTCTTCATAGCGATTTATCACCTTACATCGAGCTCGAACTGATTCCGTATGGGAAAGCAAAGGTAAGACCTGATTCTTCATTTTTTTAGAAGCTTATGGGAACTTAATATTCAGGGAACTGTTGTTAAGACCTGAAACATGTTCTCTACCACAAATCTGCGAAAACAACTATTCTGAAATGACTGAAACTAGACGATACTTGATGAAAATCTACAATCAAAACTTACTTATAGTTTCATTTGAGATTTCCACTAAGAAGATTTACAAAACCCCGACCCGTGTTTCGCCATACAGCAACTTCCCGAATGATTCTCCAACCGCGTTAGCATATTCAGCATTATCACTTCTTCAAAATGATTTCGAGTCAGAGACGGCAAATCAGTTCATGAATATAGTTGCCCCCCATTTAGTTGCCCATTTAGTTGTAGCTACGGTACACACCATTTTAGTTACTGCTGTATTTACAGAAGTGAGGCAATACCATGTTTTTCACTAGTGTCCTATTGCTTATTCAAAGTAGGTACACCACAGTTCAAATCCACCATTCAAAAACACGCGTTCATGAATTATCGTGACAATATCAACATCCGGGAAACATGAAGTCTCAATGTCAATCTTTCAGTTAATGATTCGATGAGTGAGCTTTGTAACATCAAACTTTTCATGAAGTATGTTCAAAATAAGGAGATTTAGGAAACATATTATTTAATGCCAAACCTAAATTAGACAAAAGAAAGAGATCTGGTAAATATCAACTAAAATGTGGTGAATGCTCCGCCATATATACAGGCCAAACATGTAGAAATTTTGACATAAGGTACCATGAACATGTCATTTCGGATAAAAAAATCAATAATGTTTGAACATCTTTAAAATACGAAACATAAAGATAATTTAAAAATCCTCCACACGTGCAAAAAAAGGAAAATGAAGGATTTGTTGGAATCTGTGGAAATAAACAAGACCATGAAAAATCCCAATTCTATTACTTTCAATGAACTTGATCCAAACAATAGACCTCTCCTGAACCTATAACCCAGTTCCCAAAACCTACATTTTATCAAAATTTGTTGTTATGTTCATCGATATACTGCTACTAATTGAGGTTATCCCAGGTATAGACAATGTAGGTACCAAATTATTTATAATAGGTTAGGCAATGTAGGTATAAATTACTCAGATTTGAATGTAATCTAGTTAGTTTTGAAAACGGTTTAATGACCAAAACTAGTCAAAAAATATAAAACTATCCTGGAAAATACACAAAAGTGTGTTTTTATAGTGTTTTCTCAGTAATTTACTCTTGTACTTCTTCTGACATATTAGTTATTCAATGCTATGGCATAGTTTCAAGTTATAATCATTCCATATTCCTGCAAAAATCTTCTATTTTGGTATCAGAGCAAAAGCTCTCGAGCTCATGAAATCATATTGAGTGGAGAAAATGAAAGGAATTATCCATTAAGATGAATTGCACATTGCACATTGCCAATTGCACAAATCAATTTAATGCAGAGTGCAACAGACTATTGGTTGACACTGGAAATCACAGCATTCTGGAAATGACCGCTGACTTTATGCCTCCAACTGTCAACTACGAACTGCCTTATAAAGTAGGTACTGTTCCCGAGTAGAGAGGACTGAATCCTCCAAGAGATTGAAATATTAAGAGCAAATAGTTGTTGGTTCACAGATGGATCACAAAAACACCTTGCGGTTCTGGTGCAGGTGTTTTCATTCGCAGACCCAGGATAGAGATATCAACCTGCGTAAGAACCTATGCGACTGTATTTCAAGCGGAAATTTACGCTATTGAATTGTGTGCGGAGGAATTGGAAGAATCCAATCTCATATACAAGTCAATAAAAATATTCCCTTTGCTCCTACCGAGAAACGTCTAAATTGGTAACAAATTGCCAAAAACGACTCTCCTCAACAGGAAGACCTAATAGATTGTCTCTGGTCTGGATTCCTGGCCATACTGCCCATTTGGTCGAGTGTGAATCAGTGTGAGCCACAATAAACCCTTGCGAGTTACGGTGGAGGTCGAATAAACCTATTCACTTTGGACCTAACCTAACTCAACCTCAAGGAAGTATGCTGGGTCCCTTACAATAGGTATTTTTTAAAATGACTTGTCAGAAATATCCAAAGAATCGAGCACCTTTGTTCTGAGTTATGCTGACGATTCATGTCTCCTTTGGACTATTGATGGTCAAAGTACTTTGGCGGGCTGATATCAGGTATACTGATGTATACCTGATATTATGTATGTAGTAATGATACACGATGATTTAAAAGCATACCAATGAAGAAAATAGCCCAAAGTAGTTGTAGATATCTGGTCTTCAAAATACTTCCTCTATCTTGAGCAATCCAGCTGGTGCATGTTTCAAAGATTTCAATATCCATTTACACTTGACTATACTATTCTACTAAATTGTGTAGCATTTCAGCTCAAAAACTTCCTTCAAAGATGGTTTATTACCAGTACTCATATTATGGTTAACTGTTGTGGTTGATACTAACAAATCTCCCCCTGAAATCAAATTATTGTTGAGGCTTACCCCATTGCATTTAGCAGTCCCATGAAAAACAAGCTTCACCATATGTTTTCCCAGTTTTTTCCACCTGGCAGTGGCAAAAGGCCAGATGTAGGTATTTTTTCTTATTTCTTCTAGAGTGATAATGGTGACCTCACTTGCAACAACTTTATTTTCAGACCGAAAAGAAAAACGACACTCACTTCGAATTTACCTGTCACCATAAAGCTGCAGAGTGCTACGGTAACAAAATTCAAGCCTGCGCACTCGTTCTGATCGACTTAGGAGCCAAGACTGAAAATTTGGGTTTCAATAGAGAAACTGTAGATTTCATAGCATGCCTCATGAAAGATTTAACACAGAATTCTACTATAGACGAGATTAAAATAGCAACAGAGAAATGTTCCCCATCAAAAAAAGACACAATACTTAGTTGTGCCGATGACAAGTTAGGTAAGTTGGAACATCCATTTTCAGTGTTGTTTGTATTTGAGGATGAATTTATATTAGGAGGATGAGATTATATTAGGTTTTACATTATGATCCATAAATTAAAGATCTGAACAAAATACGCGCTACAGATTTCGATGCTGACACCATCTATCAACAAGTGTACAAAGTTGGATTGATCTCTTTTCTCAGTGCTATAGAGCAAAGCGCCCCCCCCCCATGCCCCTCCCGGGTTGAGTGCCATGAGTTGAAATCTCGTCCATCCACTCCCGACCCTTCGGAGCAGTCCTCAATCCTACTGATGTCCACTTCAGCAAGATTGACATCTGACCTCTTCCAGTCTAAAGTCAGCCTTTAGGTGCTTTTACTTTCTAATCTAATGATTACTGTATCGTGGCTTTCCTAACTGAATTTTCGCATGGGGTCTCCAAAAACTAACCGGGGACGAGCGTCTTTATGTCGCGAGCAAGTGTTGTTTCCCAGTGAATCTGAAAATGAAGTGAATTTGAAATCTGGTTAAGAAGTTTTTATACTTACCGGAACTGCTTGATAGTGACTTTGGGAGGTGGACTCTGGTTCTGCTTCGTTGGCCTCCTGTGTTTGTCCCTCTCTCGGAATCTGGGGTCATCCCTGTTTAGTGCGTTATGTAGGTCACTTAGCGCTGGGTTGTCGTGCGCTCGAATTCTGTCGAACGTGTCGGTCCACGAAATCTCTTTTCCGTTGAAGGCGACGTTTCCTTCGGGGTGTACCAACCTCCCTGACTCTTGTCAGGGTTTATGCTGATCTTTCAAAGGTTGGCCCAATCCTCTAATCTGTCAGCGCCGCTGTACCACCGAATCCGCTATGTCTCTGCTCTTAAATCTGTAATATATTGGAAAATATTCATTCAAATCACATTACATGCTGTGAAGGGCCATATTGATCTATATCAAATGCAAAATGTACTCAAGGATAGGGATAAGGATTGATGCTGTATTGCTCAAAATCACTTCGTAAGTGAGCCATTATTTCTCGAGGATATAAAATTGTTATTGTGGGTTACCCCTAAGAGATAGACATATACCATCGCAGACTTTTTGTAGACCTTTTGAAGGTGTACAATACTTTGGTACATTTTTTGATCTATCTCGTAGGGTTCAGATAGCATTGGCAATCTAAGCAAAAAAATTGTGAAGCATTGTTTGGAACCTTTGGTATAGTAATGGATATCACTTGAATTTAATCCCAAAACCAAAACGTTATTTCAACTCCTCGACACGTGTTTCGATCACCAACTGATCATCTTCAAGAGGAAGATTAAACTAAATCTACATACAATATTGTCCTTATTTATACCATAGATAACTCTGTTGGGTATCTGAGTCTTAATTGTCTCAAATTGATTTTACAATGTTCCCTTTTATCTACTAGTCCTAAATAAATTTAACAAATGTTGCCTAATCTAACAGTCTGCTAAATCTGATGAACAAAATATTTAAATAAGCTATATAGTATACTATCAGGTATTGGCCCACCATTGTTAGTCTATATGTTTACTTATTTCTAGTCTCTCATAGGTATCTTGTTGTTAACTTGTCTAACTAATCTTAATGAAATAAAGTAGGTATATGGAATGGTTTTGTTACAAAATATGATGGGCGACTACTGATTTTTCTGATCTTCCATATTTTAGTAGGCACTAAGTGTTCCTTATATCCTCTTGAAGATGATCACTTGGTGATCGAAACACGTGTCGAGGTGTTGAAAAAGTGTTTATTCATGACATCACATTGGAAACCTCTAAAATTATCAGTTTTTGCTGAATATATTATGAATGTTACATGCATATAAACCAGTGACGGCTCGTGCATTGGAGAACAGGGGAGGCTAAAGTCATAAAGACTATATACACACAGAAAACCCCACCAGAGGCGCGAAAATTTTTATGTTGTTGCACGCTTTGCTCAATACTAAAGTTAGGGCATGGCCATGACAATACGTAAAAAGTGCATGAGAAGCTATGAACTTTATTTTAGTTTGTAACCCTTTAAATGGCCGGCCATGACCGCAGCCCCATCATAGGTTTGCGCAATTAACTTTTGCCTAAAATTATTGGTGTCACACGTACAAATTAAAAAATTAAACCAATCATCAGCTGTGCGCCCAGATGAAACATCATGAAAACCTATAAAACGTTCTACCACAATACCATCTTTGACATATCTAAAAACGATTGAAAGTTGTGATGTACAGTTATTATAGGTAGTTTCATCAATTTCCCATGCAAAAAAAGAAATACTTTCAATCTCCTTGCTTATATTTTCCTTAATAATATATGCCACACTGTCTATAAGCTCATTTTGGATGGTTTTTGAGGTGCCCGAAAAAACGCTACCGTTTAACAAAGTGCCAAATTGTGAATCATATTTGCCTCATAACATTAAAAGTTCCTTGTAATTGCCGCGATTGATCGAATCTTCGATTTCATCGTTTCCACGAAAAGCTAATTCTTGGGAACCTGAATAAATCATAATATCGATAAGTCTTTAAATTCGACCGATTTTCCCTAACCTGATTATTAAAAGTATATCCTCTTTTTGAGCTGTATCTAAAGCTGTTGCTTAGATTTAAAATGTCTTTCTGTAGAACGAGGTAAATTTTTTAAATCGAAGCATCCTATTTTATACCACGTTTGGTATTCGGTTTGTACGGAAAAAAAACACAGGGCCAACAAAAAAGTTTTTCTCGTTTAATGGAGCCGGTTAACATTGTTGATGCAGGATACAGTGTAGTACGTACTACGTAGTGAGTGATAGTGATTCGGGCATATTATATGTTTATATTAAAAATTAATGGTGAAGTAATGATAACCAAGCATTTTTAGGAGAAAATAATCCTAATTATTTGTCAATATCTTTTAATTTATTGCGAAGAATAACCTCAAATTCAATGGGGAGGCTAAGCCCCCCTTGCCTCCTCTGACGAGCAGCCGCTGATAGAAAATTTCCTCTTGAATCACTCTATCTATTGAAAAAACCCGTATCAAAATCCGTTGTGTAGTTTTGAAAATCTAAGTATACATAGGGACAGACAGTGGAAAGCGACTTTGTTTTAACTAGTAGTGATAGTTAATTATAGTTTTCAATTCCCTCCACTGATATGAGGCAAACAAAGCAAAAGGAAAAATATTTTTTATTAAAATAAACTATTTACATGTCTACCTTTCATGAGTACCTCTACCTTAAGGGTAGAGTAGCAAAGTGACTTCTAATTCAGACAGGCGCGCCTTCGCGTCTCGGGGGAACGCCCCCATTACACCATTACATGGTTTTGATATTCAGGTCGTTCAAATGAAAACATAGTTGTCATAGCTAACATAGCTAACAAGCTAACCAACACGGTTAGCTTGTTAGCTAGATACTCCTGGGAAAAATTCATGAAAAAAAAACCAGGACAGAATGTATATGAGGCAAGAAGTATACTCTGGATTTTAGGTATCTTCATTAAAAAAAAAAGTTTAAAGACGTCAGGTGACAGAACTAGCTGTGGAACTACATTGGCCAGTCCAGTTACCCTGATAGGCTAACTACTGTTATAGGTAATTCAAAATAAGCGATACTGTCCCTGGTGTCAAAAGTTATGAACTAGGGACAAATAGGTACATTGTTTTATTAATACTCATTAATGGGTGTTTATTTTTGTCGCTATTATGTCGATTATTCTAGTGAATTGGTGAAGAATTTGTCGATTATCATTTTTTCTCAAGTTGAAACTATTTAGACTATACGTTTCGCAATGTGAATTGTGATCAAAAATATATCAATGTTGTGACATCAATTTTTACTATTTTTCGCGAAATAGTCAACTCAGAGTTGTAGTGGAAACTAGTTAATGATTGAAAGTGTATATAGCTGAACGAAAGTCCTAGATGGATATAGTTGAAATTAGTGAAAATTAATGCAGACCTACGACTCTACAACAAATTTTCCTTCATTTTCAGTATTTTAATATTAATATAAGTCACAAAAAGGATTTGAAGCTTTATAACTTCTATTTTAATTATATGCGAGCGTTTTCGACAGCTGGTCGTGCTGTCATCATCTAGGCTCTCCTCAAACTCAAAGTTTGAGCTACTTTCCTGTTGTACAACTGTTATTTCATGCATTTCCGTTGATCTAACCATTTGTCAGACTTCAAGTTAACGTATTTTGAACTTAAATTAAAATAATGACAACTAATGTTGTAATATACAAAACAAGTTGACAAGGCGTTTTAAACTAACGTTGCCACGGAAATTATTTCAAGTTTTTTAAAGGATACCATCTAAAAAGAACATTTCTATGGTTTTTGCTCACGTTTTTATTATCAATACCTCAACATGAAATAAGTTTTGAGTATATTGCAATAAGTTTTCAATGTATTTTATGGAATTTCGGAAACGAGATGATTTTAATTTATTTCATCTTAATTGTTGCAATAAACTTAAAAGCAATAACATAACACAAGCCTATACTTTCCATTTAAAAAATTGGGGGTTGTATCCGTATTCGACGGGGGTTGAAGGTAGGGGTAGCATTTTTTCGTTGAAGTATGTGAAATTATAATTTAAATTTGACGTGTGCACCGAAATAATAAATTTATTCCATTTGGCTTTTACACACTGTATAACTGTTTCCACAGGAATATGGTATAGTGTACTGTACTGTACTGTTTTTCAACCGTAAATTCGGGTTAGGTTTGTGTAATATTCTCTATCGAGTTGCCTTTGTTCATTTCACAGATTGTGGAAGATTAAACACTCAAAAAACTGTAAGAAAAGGTGGCTTCCCCACAAAAAATGTCTTCCGATAACATAATAATGAAATTGAATACTTTTACACAGTTGCATTTTGGATACTATTATTTTTAATACTTATATTGGTCGAACTCAAACAATTTTTTTTTCAGAAACAGTAGAGAACACTACAGATTCAGCTATCCAGCCAATCCCAAATCTCTCTTTAGGATTAGCGACATTATTATCAATTGGACTTCGCTTTCTTTACAGACATTAAGTGAAAATAAAAATATAATGTCCAAGCGTTCACTCATTTTTCCTTTTTTG